ATAAGCGGCTTATAAGAATTTCAACGTTAATTTATACATATAAAATGATTATGTGGCCTGTGGAGAATGATGGTGAAAAGGGAGGGTGTGAGACGATGTTGACGGGGAAAAAATCTTTTGGATTAATCATTTTGTATTTATAGCTCATTCTCTCATGTATAAATCTCATGGAATTCCTCACATTTTCCTTTTTCTCCGCCATCATCGCGCAGTTTCTTTTTCTCTCTCTCTCTCTCTCTCAAAGGCCCACAAACTGCGCTCTCGGGCGATATGAGAAGGAGCCTTAAGACACTGTGCACGAGATGGTCGGAAAGTGGGACACGGGCTTTAGTTGATCTCTGATTGATATAGCAACTTGTGCTCTCGTCTCCAATCTCTCCATACGCGCTTGCCAATGGCAGCACTTGCAATCGAATCAAGATATCAAGAAGCGAGCGGAGTTGTGTGTCGAGACTGCTCTGCCATATCAGCAGAACTGCGGATGGGCAACAAGAAGTTGGTGATTATGGGAGCAAAAATCTACATAAATCACACGATCAGCACACCATCTGGAGAGGTATACAGAGTCGCAGGAGAGCGCAAGAGCACACGAGTGAAATTAAAGGCACAAATAAAAGTCAACGATATTAAATAAAATACACATTGCCAGAGCGACTTATATGCGATACGGACGTCTGATGCATTTTGAGCAGAAGGTATAGTGAATGCGCCTTCCACAACGGGTTAAATCAATGAACTTGTCAAGAAAGTGGATAAATTTGACTCCGCGCAACTCTCGCGAGATTACAAACAGATAAACAAAAAAACCAAAAGACGCACGAGAAAAAGGATGATAAAGAAACCACAAAACTCATAGAAGACACTCATGACAAAAGTAACAAATTAATTTCAGATTACACAAACTGTATAAGAAAGATTCGAGAAAAAAAAATCGAACTCACTAAAAAGTGGCATTTGCAAAAGAGTCTTACCATATGTAAAGGCCAAGTTATCTCGTCGTGAATTGTCTGCAAAAAATTGACGACTTTGTTAATTCAGCCACTTGAAAGATTCACGAGTGTTTTTTTTTCTTATTAATTTACTTTTTGCTAAATTGTTTCTTGTTTGTAACGAATTAAAAGTCAATTATTTTCTTGGCAAAATGGTCATTTATCCACTCTTGCGCGGTGTATTTTTGGGTGAAGAAAAGAAAAGTAATTGCCTGGATCAAGTTCATTGGATATCAATTTTTGGCTATAACATAAGCCGTTATAATTAATTTTTTTTCTTCATCTTCTTTAAATTCCAAGAGCGCAGCTTTAAGCTCTTTTTGGGCAGAAGTTTTGTAAAATCCGTCAATATTGAAGTGCGTTCTTTTGCTTTCCTCCTTTTCCCTCAGCGAAATCGATGAAATTGAGACCGATAGACGGGCATGTTGAGTTTCCTCTGCTGGTCTGGTGGTGTTTTTGGGCATGGAAAAGGGACCGATGTGCATGGAGAGTATTCATTTCGCACATGTCAAAAGCAGAAGTGACTGAAACTGACATCTCGCATTGAGGGTGGGATTCTCCGGAGGGGGTGACGCTAAGGCCGCCGCTCAACAGTGTCCCTCTCGACATTAATTTCCAGATCGTCTGAGCATCGTGAGGACTCTTTCTCTCTCCTGCGTCCTGGGCGTTTTGGGGGGTGGGTGGGTGGAAGGGCGCCGCCGCGCCGTCGGGAGATAACCCACTTTCCACATGCAAAGGCCCTCCGTTTGATTTATTAGGGGATGCGAGAGGCTCCTCGGGGCCAGAGAAAGAGATAATTTCAGCCGCTAAACACCCTCAATTTCGGATGGCTCTCAATTGAATGGATGATTGAATGGAAGTCTCAAAACAAATCCATTGGCAGCGTGACACAGAGTGTATGGCGAGAGTGTATAAAATGGCAATTTACAAATACCCAAAGACATTGTAAGCAGAGAGAGAGAGAGAGAGAGAGAGAGAGAGTATGGATGCAGATTGGCAATATATACACTCCATAAGTCACGATCGGAATGTTTTGGCAGTCAGGAACATATGTAAAAAGCGCCCGAAGCTCAATTCTCCTGCTCTCTTCCCTCACATGATTCTTCCAATGATTTTAAGCGCTATATAACAACACGTAATTGCGGCAGAGAGATTGGTAATTTATTCCATCGAGGACTGTTCGCAATGGAGGTGCAATTGAAAATTAACAATGTTGTAAGACATATTCATTTATGATGAGCCACAGAATGAAGTCCGGCGGTCCATCGATGGACCAAAGCGCGTTCTAGTCCATCTTCGGACCAAATTTGGACGCTGCGAAGAAATTCAATTTAATTATAGGCTGTCAGCACTGCTTGAATTCCGAAAGGGTACAAATGTTAATTGCATAGAAGTGAATCGAGATCATCATCATATCGGTATAGCATAATAATTTATGATTAAAGGTTACCCACTCAACGGTATGATGATGATTGCTGTGGAATTCAAAGAACATTCATCCACTATACTTGAGCTCTTTCTCTCTCTCTGAAAAATCAGATAATTCAGCTGCGATCCGAGAGTGCGGGTAAAAAATCCGTGCCCATGCTTGGCCGCGGCCAGTATTTATAGAGAGGAGTAAATGGGTGTTAGTGTTAATTTAATCAAAATCACATTGAAATAATTTACCAAGAGGCCATTTTCTGCCATGTACGTGATTATAAATTGGAGAAAAATTAAACTCATTTAGCTGAATTATTAGACATGGAAAATAGCTTAATGATGAAATATTTATTCGATGAGTACAAATTACAACACAGCCAATGGATTGTGATCTAGAACAAATGGCCATATTTTCTGCCTCTCTAGGCGCGCTGCAGAAAATACACACAACATGCGAAAAGCCATTTGATGAAATTTCACACACAACACAGGCGAAACAGTTGATCGCGGCTCAATAAAATTCTAGGCTGACGAGAGAGTGGCCCAAAAAAGACGATCGCGAAGCACCCCAAGGAGAAGAGACCTCGTTTGCGAATTCGTCGAAGTAGAAAATGCAGAATAATTGACAGGAAAATTGCCTTTAGTAAAGTGGATCAAGCCGATGTTGCAGCTCATTTGCATGTCTCGATCGTTCTTGATCTCAATTGAGAGACTCTATCAGGAGTCCTTGATCGCTGCAAATAGCACACAGCACTCCAGAGAGGCGAGCGTTGCACATAAGAACGCCCAGATCATATGTCCCGATATCCGTGAGATCTTCCACTTCTTTTTCTGCACCATCATCCCGCGCACATTGATCGCTGACGCGACCCGAGATCGAGATGAGCCGCGATATCGGCGGGAAGACACTCGATCACCGCGAGTCACTTCGCGACGGTTGCGCCGGGGTTGTTGGCTGTTTGTCACGAGAGTGATTGAGCGGAATTCGAGAAGAAATCCGCGCTCGTGGGGCCAAAGTGCAGGTCTCGAGAGGATTGCTGAAGTCACTTCTCAGGCAATTGGATTGGTATCTGGCCAATATGACTGCCAAGGCTAAGCCAGCGAGTGAGACATTGGAGCTGCAATGAAAGTGGTTGCAATCGTTGGCGCATATCTCAATTTTCTTCTCATGAATTTTTCATCTGGAGTGTGTTCGACCCTCCATCATCTCTCGGCGGCGAATGGTGTGCAGATAATTGGGTGAGATGCAGCGCGATATGATGCAAAAAGGCTACGTGGCGACTCACACCCGAAAAACTACACTATTGGGGATGATGCTGTGGAGCCGCGCGCCGAGAATGAAGAGCGCCTCGGCCAAGACGAGAGGATGACGAGAAGATATTCATTGGTTATTTTGGCCCGAGAAAGTCTGGCATTCGCACACACAGCTCGATGCTCCGACACTGTGGTGCTGCGCGATGGTGGAAGATGATGATGTGGAACCAGTTTGGCGGATTCGCGGGACTGGGAAGGTGGTGCTGGGTTGCCATGCCGACTGTACACCGAATGCCCCAAGTCAGAGACTCAACACAGGCGCGCCGCGGACACGGTGTCGGCGGCGCGCGAGGGTGTGCGCGCGCCTCCGAGTGTGGGGAGTTGAGCTTGCACGGTGGTGGTGAATTCAATGTTGCCATAGAGACTCCATCCCTCCACCCTCGGGCGCGCGAAAGCTCGCCCGGCCACCCGACACAACAAACAATTCCCTGCGCCACATACAGCCGTCTCACTCGAGAGCTTATGGTTTGTTTTCGTCGTTATTTCACCGCTTTTATGGTGAAACCAGCTGGAACCCCATCCACCTTCCACACAGGCGCCTCGCCGTCCAGAATGTGGAGCACTCAGCGCTGAAAAGCTCAGACTCACTGTCTCACTTTCCCACGTGGACTTTTGCCATGTGTCGCGACGGGGTGGAAAAGCTCATCCGCGCGCTGCACATGAGAAAGGAGCTTTCGATACACATATCGGGTTTTTGGCGTTTGGGGAGCAGAAGAAGACTAAAAAAAAGCCGAAAACCCTTCTCAGCCATCTTCGAGAGCTCTGGAATTAGTGTGTGCAAAACTTTCCCTAATTGTCTCAGTGGGGAAACTTTAATTTCTCACAACTCGGAGTTTTAGTCTTTAATATCCATAGTAATTGAGATTTATATTTCGAATCCATGGCCGAAAAGTTTCGGACATTGATACTGTTTCGACTTAATTTCCACTTCTAATTCCGCAGAACCCCTTGTAAAACCGTAAAAACTTTAAGGTATTTACTAGAAGAAAATTTATATCCATCGCACAAATGATAATTAGTCGCCTTATACTGTCTATTTGTATTCAATCAATACAAGGAGTGTAATAAATTTAGAAGTGGGCGGGTAATAAATATTGGCGGCTTTATTGAACATGACAAAAGAAATTAATTTTATCACGCTTTTTTTTCAACCACTCGCCAAAACCGTGTCAACTGATAGACTTTCTGATGCGATGATGGATTGCCAGAGAGGAAATTTTTGAAAAATGCACTGTGTTTTCGAGTGGGACGATAGAGAGAAAGAAAGAGACTTACCAGGACTACCTAGGAAGACTGACTGATAGAGAATCCCTCGCCCCCGCGAAGCGTCTGTACTTCGGGCGTCGGCAGGTGAGGTCCATTCTCTTCTACACCATCGACCTGCAAAAGGGGTAGAGAAAAAAGGGTGGCGTGAGTGCTGAAAATTGATTAAAATTTCATGCGAGAGAGAGAGAGAGAGAGTGTGTGTCCTTTAATTGCCGAGCAAACAGTGTATTTCCTCGTCATTCGCGGGCCACTTTGTCAGGAGGTCAGAGTATCTGTCAAATGTGACAAAAGTGTGATTAAATCAAATCCATAAATGTAGCGACAGAAGCCACAGTCGATACCATGGAAAAATATCGTGTTTTCGCGCGGTGTGAGAGTGACATAAATAAATGGTGTGCAAACAGATATCTATCAGTATCGAGTTAATTGAATTTAGACACCGATCGGTCATTTAGAATTAGGCGCTGATCGGGGGAACCTAATCGAATCAGATTAAATTTGTCAAAATTTTCAATGGAACACAACTCGATTTGCCCGATATTGCCTTCGAGCTAGCCGAACCAATTGTGTGTACCAGATAAGTGATATTTACGCTTCTTTTCCTCCCAGGGCAGAAGAATTTCCCGACAATGCCGAGAAATGCCTTCACACTGGCCTTTCAACACCAGCCAATTTGCATAGAAATGAGAAAGTCAAGGGGTGTCATCGCCCTTGCACTGACAATGCAATCGATGTGATTGATTGGATTTCAGTGAAAACTGAAGAAAAACCTGCCGAAAATTGCTCATCGCCAGAGAAACAACGTCTTTAAGGGCTGAAAAAACACCCACAAGAAAAAAAAATCCCATTACCAGACTAATTTCAATGATTCTCTGGGTGTTTCTCATTGCTGCTGAGGAGAAAATAAAACCACCCCTCGGCATTCCAATTGTCTGCCAAGGGTACAATTGAATGGTGGAAAAACTAATTTCGCCGGCAAAATTGTCATATACATATTAAATATGCCATTTGCCATAAAAATTCATAAAAAAGGCAATATTCTCAATTATACTGTGTTCTATTTGCTACATTGCGGCATCATCCCTTGGCTTTTTCACCCCCTGGCAGCATTTACGTGCGCAGTAGACAGCGTCTGAGGCTGCCTTCGGATGGAGAGAAGACGATGGTAATTCTTTCGCTAGGCACTGTGTTTTCTTGAGACAATGGGAGAACTGTGAGATATCAGAATTTATTGTTTTTTACCTTCGCCACTCACTGTTATTGCTCATTTTGGCTCCGGCATATTGCTTCGATGCTAATATGGGGCACAACAATGAGCCCATCATCCCCCAGTGCGAATGGGAATTTCAGCATTTCGGCGTTCAGAGCTTGTGTTTTCCGCCCCGGGGAAAATTGTGGTCTCTCAATGGTTCATCATCATAATTTTTATTAATTAGGATGTTTCCACATCCCCATAATATTCCTTCGAGAGAATAAAAAAGAGAGAATCAAGTGACTTTGGTGTGGAAAATAACGAAGGCAAGTATAGTTTTTGGTATATTTTCTTTCCCCTTCTTCTTTTTTTTTTGATGGCGGGGGTGAGAAAAATCGATGCAATTCCGAAGGGGGTGTTGAGCATTTTCGTCCCGTTCATTTATCATTTCGGCGCTCAACTAACCGATATTTTAACCGGATCTCCCACACCCTCGGCATCTGCGAGCCATGTGATCCGAGCTCATTTGTATGGTTTATGACTCGCAATACATCAACTCCATTACACTCTCATGGATGTTTATATGACGTAATTGTTGCTCAAACTGTCTTCGAGACGCCATCGCGCGCGGGGTGAAAAGTCCCAAAGAACGCGGTCGCGAAATTGCATCGCGCATCGACAGATTTGATAATTAGTGCAGAGTGTCACATTAATTCGCCATAAATTCTTCTCTATCATCGGTGCTGCCACAAATCAAGAAGACGGCTATTCCATGAAAGACTGTCGGCGAGTGTGGCGCATTCACACGCAAAATGGGAGGGATTGATTTAAGACCGACCTGCCATGTCCAATAATAAAATACGAAATACAACCGGCAGTTGACGACTACACACATATTGCTGTGCATGACTTCCACATTCACACTCGCGCCACGCCACACTTCAGCGTCTTCAGAGCATCTCACACAGACGCGCAGACGATTTGCAGACTCTTTCCGGCCAAGCAAAAGCTCCGCCGAGGAGCTTTCTACGGAAATTTACGATTTTACTATCAAATAACCATCGAATCAATTAGCTTCACGCGTAAGAAAAAGAATAAAATAAATCAAGGGGAAGATATGATGGCTCAAATCTGTACACCACTTCCTGACACTTCAGCAATTTGTATGAAAAATTCTTAACACTTCATAGATTGCTTAAAACAAGGCTAAAATCGAATAGTAACTGAAATCTAATTGAAAACTTTAAAACTCACGTTTATGTGAATTTTTTGTGATCATATTCTTTCTAATTAATTTTCTTTTATTATTCCTAACTCAAAATTAGAACAGTTTCTTGAAAAAAAAAAGAAAAATTGAGGTTATGTTTCAATTTAACATTATTTTAGAAAATCATAATTTTTATTAAGTGAAAAAACGCGCTTTTCTACCAATAAAGTGAAAATACTTTGAGTTTAGGGGCAAGAATGTCTACTTTAAGATGTTATTAAGATTTAAATCATGTCACATAACCTCAAAAAATATGTAAAAATTGAGACTTGAATAGAAATTAATTTCCCAGAGTAAAATAATCAATTGAAAATCAAAGCTGTGAATTAAATATTGCATAAATTGAAGCATTTCCACTTCCTAAAACTTCTCCTGATCTGTACACCACTTCTGATCATATTATCTCCCCCTTGGAATCAATAAACAAATATTTTTATCGATTCTGTGACTTCGCAATGACACGCCAAATTGTTCGCTAAGCGTTCTTTCACGCTTTGCAATTATCCGAATTAAGCCCGAATTCGAACATTCTCCAGACAGAATCGGTTAGAAAATCAGTCCGATTGGAATTTAAACAGTTACATATGTAAAATATGTGATTCGACATTAAGTTGATGGAGCAGATTCTGGCTTGATAGTGTGTTAATTTTTGAATAATATTATGGAGATAATTTATTTGTCTTGGTTTCCCACATATGTTGGATGTAAAAACGGTTTTTTATCCATGCTTTTCCTCGCAGATCTGTCCACATGGATTACACAATCTCGTCTGCGAAGCATTGGCACTTGAAGCATGTTAGCAACAATTCTCATTTGCTTTCAATCATGGCAACGCGCGGAAATTGTGAGTTCTCCATGTTGTTATAAAAATGGAAGAAAGTAAAATTAATGTGATTATTATGCAGTGTGGATTTTAATGAAATTCAGCAATTTAAATTAATTTCCACCAGTCATCGAGTGTCTGAAGTGGATTTATCTTAATCTTCTCATTGTCTATTAGTGCAGTTGATTGATAATAAATCTTCCATGTTTATATTAAAGTGTTTGCAATTTTTCAATGTGTATTCACAAGATTTCTGAAAAACTCCATCGATTTGCGTGCATTTTGATCTCATTTCCAATTGATTAAAGTATGCATGTCTCCCTGAGTTTTGCACTATCAATCCCACTTGGCGCGATCTTTGGGCGTCATTCGTCTTGTTCTCTCGACTCCCAAGTGAGATGTGAATTAAAGCTGTCTTGTAAGCGATTTAATTCACAAAAGAAAATGGAATATTTAGCAACACACTGTGAGGGCAATAGAGAAAGATGTGAACGAATGATGCGTTGACGACGCGGAATTTGTGAAATCATTTCACAACACATTAAATTCGTGATTTATGTGTCACGTGACCGCATCATCGCACACCATTCGCCACGAGGAGAGGAAAAAAGAGGGCGACATGGGGGAAGGATGAAGCAATGAAGATGCTTCGCTTTCATTTCACTCGGCATAGAAATATCGTCAGTGGGACATCCATCGGAAGAGAGAGAGAGTGCTCTGCATGCGGATTTATGGGGACTTTTGTGCACGCACATGAGGTCAGTGAGTGTGCCACTTCACCCCCCGCCACTTCCGCCGGGGTGCGCTTCACCCCTCGGCACTGTTTCGCCGTCAGAAGATGCAAAAATTGAAACTCAAACTGTCAGTTTGATCATTTTTCAGAACATATCAAATTTCCCATCACATTTCCGCATTCTTCGCTCGTCTCTCTCTCTCTCGAAGATCCACTGGAAGTGAAGTTAACAAACATGCCTCGAAGAACCCCATGATAGCGTGTGAGAATCCAAAATGTCATTTGGAGGTCTCTTCGTCATATCTGGCGCGGTCTCAAATCAAAAATACGCGCGCACCTCAAAAGTGGCTTCTATAATGTGTGAATTGGGGTTTTTTCCTCCGCGGCTCTTCATCCCATCGCCAGATTATCTCATGTGTGCTCTCTCAGTGTGGAGGAAAACACAAAAAATCGTTTTACGGGTTAAGCTCAGAAACAGATTATTATTAATGATTTTTCTCTGGGTGCCAATGCGTGGCGAGGAGAGCGAACGAGAGGGAGAGAGAACAGCAATTTCCATTTAGTTAATCAAAAATTAGCGGTCACTCATTTATTATTCATCATTCCTGCTATATGTATTTCCATATAGCAGCCCGCAGTGGTGCCGCCTCAGTGGATGATGGTTGTTAGATCATGGGCAAATCGCGTTCTTTGTCTTGGCCGTTTTTTCAGACATTTCCTCAGCGCTCCTCGAAGCTCTCCTCAACTTCATTATCCACCTCATTTATTCCTACGATCGCGCGCATAGTGTACACTGGGTGGATGGGAAGTAGAGACACGACCTAATGCCATTTTGCATTATTTATGGCAGACAAATTAAATGTAAACCATCAAACATTCACCGATGAGAGAACGTTAAATGTCGACAACCGATAATTTTCGGCAAATTACAGATAATTTCATTGATTTCTTTCCCACAAGACTGTCGACATTTTTATTGGTCATCAAAAATCCAGATGATATCATATGGGAAGTTCTTCAGAAAATTATATTGATCGTCGTCCGGCTTTTTGATATGTCATTTCGTAAGCCACTTCGACATGTAATAATTTAAATTTAACCCAAGGAGAAGCAGATATTGTGGTTGGAAGTGGTGTACAGCTTCAAAGGAAGTGTTTGGGAATTAAAAGTGACAAAATATTTGGAATATTTGCATAGCAAAAGCTTCATTTTCAAAGAATTGAGGCATTTTCTATATAATTTTACTGAGATAAACAAATTTTTTCGGTTTTCTAGGTTATGTGATTGATTTAAAACAGATTCTGTCGATTTAATAACCCTCTAAGTCAGCAAATTTGTGGTTAGGCTGGGATTATTTCCCTTTTTCTCCACAGAATTGAGCATTTTTGAGCGAAAAACACTTGATATTTACTGAGGAAAAGCTTAAAAGGCAAACATAACCTCAAAAAACCAATTTCCCGGTTTACAAAGATCTTTATTAGTCCCAAAAATGATTTCTTAAGTCCAATTCATAACCTAACAATTTAGGCAGAATTTTTCAAAGCATTTTCTGAAGGCAAAACTTAGATTAAATCGTGATCTGAGTCTAAAAAGTGATGAAAAATGCATTTAAAGACGTTCAAAAGTATCTGAAGTGTTGAAGATTGTGCAGAAGAATTGTGGAAGTGTCAGGAAGTGGTGTACATATTTGCTCCCCCTTGATTTAACCCCCAATTTTAATAGTCATCAAGGTGAAAGTTCTCCAGATAATCCTATTACTTGAACCCCAATCACAGTCCTCGCGACATTCGCAGAAAACGCTCCCCATTGAGTTAATTTAAAATTCCATCGCGTCAATTTGAGATTATGTGTGATTTGTTATTGGAAATTTTCACACACACCCCCCGAAAACCCAACCACGTAGAGTCGAAATACACCTTCATGTCTGGGGCGCCGATGATAAAATTTATGCAATGTTTCAGCTGTCAGATATGCTGAAATCTCATCGTGCTTTTTCCCACTGCCACACACCATATGTGAGCGAGAGAGCGAGCTTTTATATTGAAAATGGGAACACGCAAAGCTTTTCTTCATTTTCCACCCCGACATGCCATGGCATGCTACTTCTTTCTCGTGTGGAACTCACAGAGGTGTCGTCTGAAATTGGTGTACGGAGCCTCCGGTGGTTGGGCGGAAGATGGGATCCGGGGAAAAGCCACGAATAGAATTTTCCTCTTATATTTTTGAATATTCATAAATCATCCATATCGCCATACACGTCCTATATGCTCAATCTCAGTTTCGTGTGCTCGTGCACCCAAATGGGAATATTGGTTTCAATCCTCACACCTCGCACACACACCGGGATTTATCCCCGCGCTCTTCTCTGCCACACAACACAAGGTGGTTCACCCTCAGTGTCCTCCCTCGCACAGCGCGCGAGGACGAGGTGGTCCTTCTGGCCCCGGAAAAAAAGGGGTGCAGACGCAGCGGAGTGATATGGAAAAAAAGAGAGAATAATCTCGTGTCTATCGCACCATTTATCCCTCGGTGGAAATCATCCTGCAGGAATTTTCCACTTTTCATCCACACACCCTCTGATGCGAAATCTCTGAGAATCCAATACACTTTCCTATCGCCTTGTCTGGGCGCTCTATCTGGGCCTCCCTGGTGTTTTTTTTTCCTCCATTTCGCTGCC